TAGGGTCTTTTGGCCGCATTACTTGTTGCCGGATTGTGGCGGCGGGCCTGTGAGCTACTCCCATTCCGAGAGGTGCGAAGGATCTAGCCACGGTTTCAGAGACCCCTTTTATGTACGGAATGCTCCACCAATACCTTGGTGGGCAACGCTCCTCGGTCCGTGGTTTTGCTGGCATACGACTTCGTTTAGTGAACTCTCGTGGATAGCCGTTAGCTCTGAAAAGCTCCCGGAGCAGCTTTGCCTCGTCTAGTTTGGCGACCGGCGTGCTTCAGTGGGTTTCGATCAGGCGGTATAGCGTACGTATGCAACTTCGTTTGTGTTGCAGTGGGTGGTTGCCATTGTAACTCAATATTTGCGAAGTGTTTGTCGGATGTTAAGGGTGCCACACTTGGATTAGGGGCCGCCGCCTGCCAGCTACCATCGTAGGTTTCAGAAAGGATGGGGAGCAATGCTCAAATATAAAGACTGACTTCAGGCAACAATACTAGCAGTCAGACTATAACCAACAGGACAGCTACCATGTTTACCTTTTGTTAGTGATCACTTTAAGCGATCAATAACTCCAGACATAACTCCTGTTTGCGGTTTTCGTTTGGAAATGTCTTGAGTGAATATCTAAGGCTAAATATAAAAGAGCTTTCAACAACCTTTTCTTTTGTATTTAATCAAACTCCGGAACAGGAGATGCGATGTTATGTGACGTGATAGCTGCTTCCGACATAGAGGCTAGCAGATAGTATCGTCGGCAAGGGCAAGGGAGACTGAAATTACCATTTTTTGGCTTATTAGCCGTCTTCAGCCAGCCATACCGAGGCCCAAGTTATGCTTCATCGAGCCTCGAACTTCCGTCCATTTTGATCAAAGTCAAACGTCCTAACCATTGAGCCACGAGCTCGTTGTCTTGGCGGTTTAGGTCGGGGATATTGACAGTCGTTGATGAAAGTTCGCCTGACTGCTAAGGGAACTCATCTGTGCCCGCTCTGCCTTGGGTCTCACCAGAGGCCCTGATGCCGTAACAGCTTGTATTATAGGCTAGAGGCTAGCTTCAGCTTCTTTTTACAACAGAAAATTGAAGATGAATATTTGTCTCATTTTTGCTCGCAGGCATATTAGTTACTAAACATTTTCGAATATCAAGAGCGCTTTTTCAAAAAACAACTGCATATCATTGTTCGCCTGCTTCGGTACGTAAGAGGTCATGACAATAAGACGTGTAATCACGATGCAGAATATTGATCCACACAAAGTTTGAATAATATTCGAATCTAGTAGAGTCACTTTCACTAATCACCTACTTCAATAAACACTTCTGTATTGAGCAAACAACCTTCTTCGGTTTGTTGCAGTGACCTGGGTGCCTCCGTAGTCCAATTCTATTTTTCCATTGGCACAGACACTATACAGTCGTAAAAGGATTAAATTTAGTATTTGACGGATACCGAAATCCTTACAAAGACTAGGGGTTATTTTAAATATCAACGTCTCCTCGATCGAATATTCATAAACACAGAGAGATTGAAATACGCAACACACAAAAATAACACAAAAACACAAAACACAAAAAATAAGCAGTTATAGGTAGAGAAGAAGGCATGTCATAGTTTTGGCCGTCTGGGCTTTCGAACTCTTACTGGAGTCCGTCGTCAGAAATAAAAGCGTCAACGAAAAAACAAGCAGCAGTTATAGAGGACAGGAGCCAATCAACCATCAGTGACGTCAGTTCGGATATGTCTGCGCAGGACGATGTATGTATACCGGCGCCAAATCAATAAATGGATTGATTGAGTACTCATCCGAGGCCCAGGCTTCAATCGATTCTCGGCCTGTCATGCCGCCGGCGTGGGCGATTAGTTTCGTGGCTGTGAAGTTAAGCTTGTGACCTGTCTCGTAGGGGACAGGAGCCAATCAACCACCAGTGACGTCAGGCCGAAGATGTCTGCGCAGGGGGATGTATGCCGGCGCCCGATCGATAAATCGATTGACTAATTTCTCGCCCGAGGCTCAAGCTTCAATCAATTCTCGGCCTCTCTCGCCGCCGGCGTGGACGATTATCTTCGCGAGGTTAAACTCGTGACCCGTCTCGTAGATGTGGACAGACACTCGTGATAATGCGTCACCCCGTCTTACAGCCAGCGTACGTAAGGAGACTTAGGGTAATTGACATGGTCATCAGTAAACATACTTAAATAGCCCGCAGTAAAAAGACATTGTCTCTCTAACAATAAA